GACATTCTCAAATTGTCACATTCTCAAATTGTCAGAGATTCCAATTGTCAGAGATTCTAAGGTGGAAAATCTTGACCGCCAGTGAATCATATAAAAGGCCACCATGGTATTCAAATGTCTACCTGGGTTAGCCCTAGACTATTTAATTTCGAAATTCTTTGAACACAATACAAGCTACAGCCTGAGGGACTCCGAGAACAAACTTATTGTTCGATTACCTCTCACAAATTATATTGAAATTAGTTTTAGTTATAGTGGTTCCACGTTGTGGAATAGCCTTCCTTGCAAGGGTAGGAGCGCGGAATCCCACGGGTCGTTCAAAGGAGAAATCAGCAAAGCTCTCTAAGGCACCAGAAAGCAGCAGTATAATGTAATTAATATAGATAATAGTTTTTAATCCTTTTGTAAATAGCTGATGAATTGCCAGTGATTAAATAAAGTTTATTGAGATGATTGACTGAAAATTATCATCAAAAATAAAGTAATGTCTCGTAATAAGCACATGAAAATAGTGGCCGATGCTGATACATTAACAGGTATCGCAGCTGGAATCGGAAGGACCTCAAAAAGAGTCACTGATTTCTGATCCGAGTCCTATTTTCATGAACTATGTGCAGTTCATGGAGTTGTCTCAGCTTCTCTTGCAAAAAAATATCTTGAAGATTATGAAATTTTGCCAAACTATCAAAAACGTTTGGCAGATTCACAACAATTGTTCTTAAGTTTGGAGTCTTCTGCTTTCTTTCAGAGGGAGTTTCATTCTTCTCTAATGATATGAAAGAGAGGCTTAAAGAAGAAATTTATACAACTATTGTAGATTAAAATCCTAAACTTCAGCCAAAAGAAAGTCAATAAACAACTCTAAATATTAATGATAGATAAAAAAAGAAAATGGCGAGATAGCAAATATGGTTAATGGAGCAATAATCAACGCAGCTTCATTTGATTGTAGAGGAATGATCTTGCAGTGGAGAAATACCAAGCTGCATATGAAAAGTATCGAGCGCATCGAACAAAGCTTCTCTGTTGAAAAGCAACCTATGATAGTTTTAAAGATCAGGCAAAACAAGATTTCACGAAAACTGACCATGTCTTAGAACTTTACAATAAATTTCATAAAGATGAACTGCATTTGGGGATTGAACCACAGTTTTTAGAGTTCTACAATCTGAATGTTCAACAAAAACAGGATGAGGGGATCGACGTTGGAGCTGGAGTTCTGGTTTTGGGATTGGCTGTTATTTTTTTCTTGTAAACTATTTCAAAATGGAAAGAAAGCTTTCACGAGTTTATAATAGCCCTAAAAGATATTGAAAAAGGATTGCCCCCAGTAAAGAAATTATTGCAAGAGACTAAATTTTCTGAAGATGTTGCAAGACTTTGGTTGACAAAGCAGGCTATCTGGCAGATTTATTTGTCTACTCCGAAACACATCCCTAGCCCAACCCTTCCAGAAGTTGTTTCAGCTTTGAATTGCGAGGTGACTCCATTAACAGGAAAGAAAACTTCTTATGCTATTGAAGCTGCGAAGAGTTAAACCAGTTATTTGAGACCTGTTGGCTTGAAAAAGAAGAGATTGGATTGTTCAAATAATGTGAGGTGCTTGTATGCAGCTGGCCGAGTTGGATGGTGGTCAGAGAAGATCAATTGTGAATGAAGGAGTGCCAGTTCTCTGCTATCTGGAAAATGAACGTGGATTGTCAGAGAAGAGCTTCAAATATTTCCCCAATGAACTGAGCTTTCTCCCGATGTAATTCGTTGTGCCATTTTGATTTTTCGATTCTCAACTTCAGGGAGGGAGAAATCAAAATAGCAAAATGTGCTAGAACTCTAAATCAAAAAAGCAAAATCCCCCATTTAACACAAGCAGTATGATTGCTTTTCTTTCACGGAATATTGTTTTTTGTTTTTTTTTTTGCTCTTTTTCCATCTGGACTAACGGTAAAGCGCCCGCTGTTTTCTCAGTTGATCGATGTTCCATTGAAATCTTGGCGATCGTCCAAGTTTGGTTTTGTTTTTACTGAATGGTAATCGAACCGATTCCCTGAATTTTCTATACTCTGGTGACACCAGCGACGTGCTCGTTCTTCTGCCACAGAACATGGATACATTTTTTATGAAGGCAAGTAAAAACGTTGGGTTATTTCTCGACTCATCGACTGTCATAAACAAATTGCTGGCCTCAAGGAGTCCATGTGGAATATTTCTTAGAATTGTGAAATTTCCTTCTTACTGAAGGTGCTTTGAAGTATGTTTGATATTATATATGGCATTGCTCAGAAATGTTATCCACTAGAAGGTTTCTTCTCGTAAGTGCTGTGATGTTCGTCCTACGTCGATTTGTCGATAACGTGCTAATCAATTCAATAGCTTTTATTCCTATTCCTTTCTACAAACAGGTAATCAAACAGCCTTGAGTCTTACCAATGTTTACTTTGTTAAAACACATACTCTTGAAACTGACCGAGCTTTGATTGGTTATACCCACAACTTTAAAAAACCCCTGCAAGATATTGAAATGAATTCTAAATCCAATGTTAGAGTATGTATACGTCTCGGTATAATGCAATGTATACTAAGAAATCATGGAAAATTCCTAATATGATCTGAATAACGTGTATGTAACAAGTCTAAATGCGATTTTGAGGCAAAGATCATTCGATGATGTGGAGAAAGCCTTTCACCTCTATTAGTAACAGTAATAGTAATAGTGATATTGACGTGAACGAAAATGTGTATGATACGTTGACCAGCTGTGCTAGAAGTTCGCGGAAATCTCAACATATTTTTATATTTCCATACTCCTATATTATGGAGAACTCGATAATACTGATAGCAAATAATTTCAATCACAAACTCATTTGATAAGGACATTTGCTCTTATGGACACTATCATGCAGTCTCAAGTGTTCCACATAAATGGTGTTGACAACTGCTTTTCCGCCTAAAGGTCTTCGTTGCGGAACACGCTATTATCATTATTTTCATCTTCATCAATATTATTATCACCAGTATCATCATCATCGTTCTCATCAATATCACCATCACTACTATTGTTATTACCTTAGTTATTATCACTATCATGATTATAATTATCATCATAACAAATATTGTTATTATTGTTGCAATAATGATAAGGATGATAGTCATTATTGGATCTACTTGCTCTTCGACCATCTACATCAAATTTACTACAAAATGCGACGTGTGTTATTACAAAGTGTGACTGCTTGCTTTCTTAGAAAGTGCGATGGTCTGTTATTACAAAGTGCGACAGCTTTTTTACATAAAAGTACAGTAGATTTTTTTTTATAATAAAGTGCCACAAATGTTGCTACAAATTACGACAATTTTATAACAAAGTGTCACAAGTATTGCAAAGTGTCACAGTTATTAAAAACTAATACTAAACAGTGTTATAACATAGCTAGCAGAGCCGCGCAATCAAATTCAGTATACGTAAGCGTGCTCAAAATCCCGATAGTGCACGCTGATAGCGTGAGCAAATCGCTTCGCCAGAAATTTTTTTTTTCGCGCGAGCGGCCATTGTTAGCGCCGGGAAAAATAATATATTTCGCGACAATAATGGATACAACAGAGACTCGGCCCACCAGTCCCAAAACGAAGACAATTTTTCGACCTTTTCCCTTTGGCTAGAGTTCTTAAATGAGGCAGAAAAAGAGAAAAACAACGGAAAAGGAGACTCGGCATCAGCGCCGTCACGATTCGCTTCACTTCACTTAATATTTCGCTTACCGCGAACAATCACTTCTGATATTGTTGTCCGTTTTTCGCGTCGGATTTGATGCACAATTCCACCAGCTATGTTAGAAAACAATTGGTTCATGCTTTTAGCTGTGCACTATCGAGTTATGGAGCAGGTGGGAAGTTTGGAGAGCACTCAAGAAGCTAGAGTTGCCCTCGGCTATTGCCACGGGCACCTCTTACGCTTCTTTCGTGCTCTCCAAACTTCCCTCGTGCTCCAGAACTCGATAGTGCACGCTAAAGCATGAACCAATTGTTTACTGGCTTCTACTTATCGAAATTTCAATCGTGAGAAACGAGTGGCCGATTTTGGAAGCAGTCTCAAGACTTGCACTTTCGCAAATATTTCCAACACACCTACTGCACATACTCTAAACCAGCCTAAGTACTTGAGTCTTGTCAAGTGAAAATCTCACAGTTTTAATAAATGCGAAAATTGATCAAATTCTTTAAAATGTTTCCTTACGCACAAATTGAAATACGAGATAAAAGGCACAATAAAAGTTCACTACAAAGCAACAACATAAGGTAGATCGAGGTGCAAGCGTCGGAGAAGTTATCAATGGCTAAAAATGTGCAAACTTGTACTTTTTTCTGATGTCCTCAAGTCCTATATTCCATTAACATCTTACGCTCGGCATATTTCATGGTGCCTCCGCCATAATTCTCGTAATGGTGAATATAAGGATTATGAATTGTTCGTTACGTCAGCATATTTAGTCTCACACCTCAAAGGTAGGGAAGCAGTATTTTAAGAACAATTTTTTTTCTCAATCTTATATATCAGGCAAGCTCATCCTGTGTCCATCTATTTTGCAGTGAATATAAATTGGCCATAGCCAGAAAAATTTCCCTATTTGATGTTTTGTCACAGTACATGACACTAGACACGGGTGCCCTTTTTTAAATCCCATTCCAATTTTTCTCTACCACTAACACGACATAAATGCCTGGAAAAGAAAGTGTGTGTTTAGTGGTGTGGAATAGCAGCCTTAAACGATTGCATCTAAAACTGATGAACATCAACTTCTAGAGTCTCATGGACATTCCTGCACATTAGCCCGTGAGGCTTAAGACCTTGATAGCTCAATAGCAAGTGCCAACTCTTTAACTTGATAACTTAAATGAATGCTAAGCTCTTAAGTTCAGTGTTTACTCATTGTACCATGATATATCCCATGGCTTTGATGTGGTTCTCTCCATTATCTGTAGAGTAATTTTCCGCTTCGTTTCCACAACTGTTTGAGTCATCAGGTCTCCCTCCTGTACCGAATCCGATCCTCGAGTTGCATGAGGAACAGTGGTTCTCGTTGTTGCTAGCGATACCAATTCGAGCTTTGGAGTAACGCTCCTCGTGACCTCCTGCGTTGAATCCTTCCTGATTACAATTATACTGCAAGGAGGCCTCAGAACCAAGCAGCGTCTTCCAGTAGTCACGACCCAGTGAAGTAGGGCGGTATTGTCCGTCAGCGATCAGTGAGTACAGAGATTCAGATTGCTTATTGATGACAATGAATTTGGGCTGTTGGCCGATATCCATTCCTAGACAGATTTGAGAGAAGGGAGTATTCCAGTAGGTTGATAACTTGGTTTCCTGTCTGTCGAATCCAGTTTCTCCTCCAGGGAGATTGTATTCTGTGTAATCGCTCCAGTGAGAACTGTTATAAACAAACGTTGACTAGGAGAGAATTCCAAAACTTACGTTCATTTCTTTTGTAATATTTATCGCATTAACGAACCAACCAGATTGAAACTGATTGACACGTCAAAATTAAAGTAGGTTTCAAAGAAAAGCTACCGATTCAATTGATTAAAGGGGAATAAGTTTCTGAAAAAACTGTGGTGCTGCGTCGGTGAGAGAGTATAACAAGGTAAATTGGTATTATCAACTGAGTTTTTAACGTAAAATGGCCATCGTTAAGAGCTTCAAAGCTGACGTTTCGAGCGTTAGCCCTTCGTCAGAGCGAACGGAGAAATTGTGGGTTGTTTTCGTGTCTATATGCAGAAAATCGAGCTACGCTATCGGTGGGAACATGGTAACGAGAAAAACAAGAAGAAAATTAGTTGAATAAAAAGCGGAGGGCCGATTTGAAAGAAAAATTTTTGTTCCAGAGTTTTGCGGCTTTCCGAACTGCCTAGATGTAGGGCTACTACCACATGCTGCTTGGAATGATAGGAGAGATCTAGTGACTGGTTTGAAAGCGTCCTTGTCATTTCTTTCTAGGTCGCGAAGGTGTTCTCGAAATCGGTCATCAAGTCGTCTTCTTGTTTCACCAATGTATAACTTTTTGCAACTAGTGCTAGTTATGGCATTAGTAGAGTGCACGTGAAGTGACCAGTAATCTTAATGGATCTCTCAGGTCTCGACATTCTCTCTACGTTATGCATATGGATGAAAGGTGAGGTTTTGTATCGTGTGCGAGCGCGTTCCAAAGTTCCAAATTGGTTATTAACTTGTAATAAACTTCTGACTGAAGAATGGCCTATGTTTTAGTGGCGTTTGAATGAAATTAGTGGAGGTTGCGAAAAGATAGTACCAGTGTCTGAATAAATTTGAACTAATTGAAAGTTTCTAATAACGATAGATTTAACTGCGTGGTTGTGAGGGTGAAATGTGAGAGTGAAACAACGACAGAAACAGAATAGCTACGTTTATCGAAAAACTGGAGCATTGACTTGTAATCAGTCGATCAGTTGATTTGATAAGTTGATTTGATCATAATTTTTAGAGCGCGCGGACACAGTGAGAGAACCAGTCTAGATCATCAAAAATTGCAGTGGACTCACTCTTTCCATAAGAACATGTAAGAAATGCTTGATATGTTTCCCATTCATTATCATCAATGAAAGAAAATCGGTGTGTTTCTTAAGATTAAAGATTTATAGGACGAGTGAACAGAATGGGGCTATTCCTTATAATTCAAACTCCAAGTTATGCAGCAATTTGCACTGTGTAAGGTGGTTCAGAGAAAAAAACCAACATGTTTAGTATTACAGCTGGCCATTATCGCTATTAAACCATCTTTGTCTCGTATACTTTGTAAAAGTGCAGATCACGTGAAATCAGGAGCTCTGAAGTTCCCTCTGAAGGAAATTAAGGGTGAATACAAGTATCAATAATACCAATTAAGTGACCATTTGAGCAGCGTCAAACGATCATAATGAGACGATGAAGAAGAAGTCAAGGTGTGTTTTAAAAGTTCGTTGTTTCTACATATACATGAAAAAAATAAGACATAAAACAAGAAAAACAACAACAAAAAACACCTTGCTGCCGTCAATCTTCATGACTGGTGTCCAACCTCCATCTCCACATCCAAAATCTCCCATGTGGCAAAAAACGGGAACTGGGTTTGAGTCAAGAAGGAGTGTCACCACACCACTCTCAAGCGTTCTTTTCATTAAAACAAACAATAACATTAGTTTATGTTTTTGTTTTTGTTTTTTTACTTAAAAGAAGTTTAGAAGCCCAAGAGTTACACAATGGCTCAGAGTTGTCCTCGATACGCCGGCTGCATTGAAGCATCTCCGCCGTTGATGATCGACAGTAAATAATTCAATCGTTTAATTAAGTGAACAGGAAAGGATTGCTATGTGCGTAGAATGAGATTGTCATTTTCAATATTACTTAACGCAATTTGTATGGGGCTTTGGGTCTCCTGACGTTGAACGCTACTTATTAAAAAGAGAAAAAAAAAACAACAACAACGATTATGATTAAAATAGCAACAGCAAACCCACCCAAAGAAGAGAAACAAACTAGAAGGTACGAAAAACTTAAGGTAAACTTTTTAACTGTCGGTAAATTTGTGAATCGTCATCAACTTTCCATTTTACTCACATTTGCTGATGATATTCATGCTTACACCTCCAAGCTGGAAAACGAAAAGACGATTGCGATTATAAGAAACTGTCAATTTTAAGTTTTTTTTTGCGACACAATTATAGTGACTATGCTATTAAAACTTTAAAAATTAATATCTGACAAGCAATTCTGAATTTATAGCCATGATACGCGATCACATTCCTCACACCATTCGTTAAAATTGAAGTCAGTTGAGCGTTTATAAGTTAATACCTCCAACGATATTTCCATCCTTCTTGCTAAAATTTAACTAATTTTTAAGAATGCTAAAATAATACCTTATACAATACACTAGAGGTATTTACACTACAATACTATTTAAACAACCATTGTTTACGTTAAATCAGAAAAAGCAAATGGGGAAAATGCAAAAATTTCCAACCAATGTTGATCATGCCCGTCCTTAGTAATTGCAGCTTTTCAGGTGTCTCACACAAGTTTGACAAATTCATTCTACTTCTCGTCGTCGAGTAATTGTGGCCGTTTCCAAAAATATTTTTCAGTTATTATTAAAACTTTTATTAAAAAATTTTTGTCTTTAACGTTACCCCAGCAACGGTCTAAGGTGGCTTCTAACTATCACCTTTACGGTTCCGTATTTCATACTAGAACAGTAGTTGAGTTAAAGCAAAGCACAGATATGATCAAAATTATTTGGAAGGAATTAAAGCCCCCTTAACTCTACAGATTGGTCAATCCTGAGTGGCTGCTTTCAGTTGATCCTGAAAACCCAGATTTAGACTAAATTCCATAATTCGCCCTCCCATACGAGACGAGGAGTACTCGTTATTTTTCATGACAGGTATCCTTTACTCCATGCCTAGGAATCAAGTAACTTAAGTAACTTTGAGACAGCTATACGTTTTCGGTTGAAACGTTCAAAAGGTAAACTTGGGTTCTCAAGCAAACCTTCACTACCGTTATTTTTCCCAAAGAAAATGTTTTGATTTACTTACGTTCGCATTCTCGGCCATTTCCGGTGAATCCGGGCTTACAGTCGCAATTGTACGATCCTTCGGTATTATCACAGATGGCATTAAGACTGCAGTTATACGACCCTTCAGCACACTCGTCAATATCTAAAAACATTAAAACAAACATGAACACAAACATCAAAATCAACAACGGAAATAGTGTACTTGACAAACGGCTGAACTACAGCATCTCACCCATTACCTACAAGTTTAGTTACCAGCTCAACTAACACCCACCTGCTCATTTTTCATTTTCATGACAAAGCTTTTGTTTGATTTTGTATCTTTGTTTGTTTTGAACGTTTATTTGGTTTACACTGACATATCATATTTGTTTCTTAAATGCATCAGCCAGTTCGTTTAGCCTCAACGGTACTTTCTGAAAATAAAACCTTTAGATCTTTTCACTAATCAACTAGATACTCATATCCCGATTAGAAAAAAGGAAAACTTCGGTTCTCAAGCAAACAGTGCGGTTTGCGTGCGGTTTTTTGCTACTTCTGTCTGTTAGGGTTGATTTCACTCTTCTTCTACGCTGCATTTCTATGCTGAAAAATTTTTTGTCTCTATTCGTGAAAGCCTTTTGAACCTTTTTGTAGATTAGTTTTGTTCCAGGAAACAATCGATTACCTTCGCATTTGTGCCCATTTCCAGTAAATCCAGGTTTGCAAGTACAGGTGTGGGATCCTTTGGTATTGTGGCAAATTGCATTTTGACTGCAATTATGTAAATGCGTAACACACTCGTTGATGTCTAAAATAAATGAAAAAAGAAAACAGCAGATGATCAACTTGTAAAAGTAAAGTTTTTTCCTCATTAATTATTTTGATTTTGACAAAATCTTAATAGTTTCTCGGTAACCTAAGTCGTAATGCTGAGAACTGAACCTTCGCAGTCTCGGCCATTTCCAACGAATCCAGGTTTACATGTACAGTTGTACGACCCGTTGGTATTGTTGCAAAAGGCATCAATACTGCAGTTGTGTAACCCTTCAACACATTCATCAATGTCTGAAAGAATGAAATATTCAATCATTAATAATAGAGTCGTCTAGTGACCCGCCATCTATCTGATTTTACATCATAAAGTCTTTGTATGGTCGCTCACACCGCTTATTTATTTTCTTTTCAATAATTATCAAATTAAAATAAGAAACAAACGAAAACGCTTGAACAAGTAAATTAATCAATAAAGAATGGTGAGATAAAAGGACTGTTTCAGTGTTCTGTCTATGAAGAAGGAAAACTTAATAACTTTGATAAAATAACTGAAATACTACAGCTCCTAATTGGTCAAAAACCTATCGTTTATCGCACCGGTAAAGCCATAGTTATTCCATAAAAGCAACAGACCGCACTTTATATCGGTTTACCGCCGTAGTAACCCACTTGAGTTGTTGAAGAACAATCGGAACTATTGTTAATCACGAGGAGGTGGCGATAGAAAGTTAACTGAAAGTAAACCGGTAGAAAGTGCGGTTTGTTGCTTAAAGAATCGACTGTCCAACACAAGGTCAGTAACCATTTCATTTTCCTGAAAAGGAACCTAACCCTAAATGCCTAATGAAGTAATGATTGTATTATTTACCTGTATTAAAATCGGCCTCACAATTCTTTCCTTTAAATCCAGCTGGACACAGACAGCGAAAACCTTCTTCATTAAAACCGCTCTGGCATGTACCGTTGTTTTTGCAAGGGTTTCCCACACAAGCGCTCTAACGCAAAAAGGCAATTTCAGTGAAAAACGTTACCCCTTCGAGACCTAAAGTTTCCTATTCATATTTCTGCTTTATTTACATCCCCAGTAATCTACTTTGATAATAAAGTTCACGTTTTGATTTAGCTCTCAATAGTTTGTACCGCAACAAATATCTAGGAAAGGGATTCAAAAAGATAGTAAATTAAGTGATTTTTTTCTTCCCAGGATGAAAACATGATTTCGCGACATTTGAAAGAATCGAAACAAACCAACAAATATCATTGCAACAGAGTAACAGCGAACAAGATTCTTAACGTAAGTAAGTCGTAATGAGACATTCACCTCTACTGCATGGTAAGAGAAATTCGTGTGTGACCTCAACTCGTGTACACGCCCTTCGTGGGTAGCATTATTCAGTTCACATTTGTAGTTTCCATTCACATCTGGTTGTTTCTCAAGATTAACACTGACACAGTCTGGGTCCATAAAACACATCATTTTACAAAACTGCTTCAGCGTAACCTCAGCAACACGAATCACGTGATTTAGAAGGCGACTGCCGTCAAATGCTCTTTCAGGCCTAAACTCTAAACTACGACACTGGTCTGCGTCTTAACGGAACAGAAATATTTAACAAATCAGTAAATACTTCGTCTGGCAAAAATGATCATCAAACATGATCAGTGGAAGACGTAGGAGCATTTTAGTTCCCGATCAACTATTCTGAGGCTTCTCTCCCCCTCTCTTGTATGGAAGCGTAATCTATTTACGCTTCCCTAATCTCTGACATGGGAATTGGGGGCTACGCGATCAGACTTTCCTCTTCCCGTTTGAACAATTAATCTAACACTGCACTTAGGGCGGGTGTCTAGACTCCTTAATTACATAGATCTCTTTTTCAAATATAATATTTATTATTACAAAAAAATAGGAATTTTTACCACTCACTGAAGTCAATAAACAATGAGGATTACAGTTTGATTCTTAAAATGTTAAATATAAGGACGCTGGTACTACGGAAGGCAAATTTTCACCAAATTTTGAATTTGAAAACATAGTCTGAAACAACACAGGCTAGATTGAAGTTTGTAAGATGGCGAATCAAAAGAAACTTAACCTTTTAGATTCTAAACCACCAATTTTTGGAGGAAGGCATAGTTATGGAAATCAATGAAAAAAACGTCACCAATATATCGTTTGTGTATGAACCTAACTATGTCACTAATTTAAGCAGCAGTCTAAAAAGTATTACAGCCTAGTGTCTTGGGCTGCAGATATAGACTTTGACAGAAAGGAAAGACCACTGTTTTGGAATCTCTTTTGCGCTTTTTTCAGCAGTCCTTATCTGATTATTGTTTAACTCTTTAACATATCTGATCGAGGAGCCTATAGAAGTCGCCGATGGTAGAAAATTCCAGTCGGTAAAATCTTAATTACAAATAAAAACATTTTCAGTTCCTGCGGGATAAAATCAGAAACATCAAGCAGCTAAAACGCTTTGGTAATATGTTACTGCAAGAAACTTCGAGAACTAGGCTCAGTTAAATGGAGACTTGGTTAAGGGTCCTTTCCTTGTAGCTAATATCTTGGATGGCTCATCTCGGACGTGCTCGACGATCACGCGGGAGAAAATAAAATCAGGAACTTACCCATACATTATAGCATAGATTCAACGGCTTATGTGAACGCAAAGAGAACAAAAGATAATTTCCATAGGAATCTCCATCGTTTCTTTCGTCAGGAGGTTAGTTGTAACAATGACAATAATAATAATAATCATTATTGTAGTAAAAGTAACACTAATAATAATCGTAGTACTAACAATAATAATAATGACGATGATATAGAAAATAGTATACATTATTGCTTGTAGACATGGAATTTTTCTTCTTGTGTTCAATTGGTTATCTCATGAGTGAGCGCATACAAGTAACATTGTTTTATTCTGTTTACTAATAGATAAGATAGGCCTCCGACAAACGACCTTAGATTGAGAATCTTGAACACTTACTATTCATTCGTCGACATGACAAAATGGTGCGAAAGGCGAGTGACGCGTTAGCAGCTTATTGGCGATATTAAACACATAAGATATTACCGTAATTTTACACAAGTACAGTTACGGATTTCATAGGGTTTAAAATCCTTGTAAAACACTGCAGTTTTCTCAATGAAAATAAATAAAAATTACGGAAATCAAATTCTTTTTGGGGAAAATAAACACCATTAAACCTCAGGGAACAAATCCAACGCGATGCAAACTTTTGCTAACCGCCCTATGGGCCAAAACTATATATCGATTTCACTCGGTAGAGAATGAATCCATTCCAATTTTTACGAGGGGCAGCTTTCTTGATAACCAGTGTCAACTATTCGAGTTACAACAAGTCTAAAATGGAGAATAAGTTGGGAAGTCACCACAATTACATTCATTATCTCGAAAGTAATCTTAATCAAATTTCAAACTTTAACAGCTGCCAAGAAATTCTTATCGAATATTGATAAGTGCAATTTGTTGTTATTTTCCATCCAATTCAAAATAAAATGACAAAAAGGTTATGCTATTAATAATTGATCAACAAATAATTGTAGAAATTTCTTCTACAGATATCTTGGAGTTCAAAATGAGTTTTAACTCAGCAGGAAGAGTCACACTGGATATTTGGCTCGCGGTTAAAAAAGAAGGCGTTCTTTCCAAGATTTGTTATTGTCAGGTAGGAATATGTCGCTGAGAATCAACAATGCATAGGCAAATCCGTTTTTATGTAATTTACTCGGGGTAAAACCCATCAGAAAACCTTCCAACTACCATTTACATCACAGAAGAGTGCGTTGAGAAAATCACATTTTTCTTTTTAGTTTTTAAAAGCAACTCTCTTTTCCAAGATATTAATGTTGTCTACTGAGCTGCCTGATATTGTAACCTTTCATCTAAGAGTGTTGGTAAACAAATGCCACGAGCAACACGAACCCTCCACTTGTGATGCTTTTTTTTCCATTTTTGAAAGGAATATTCTTTATCATAGCCTTAGGCTGTTGAGCAAAAAATGTTACGCTCGCCTTAAGTCTAGAGTCATTTGCTGCGTTTTCAGCTTAAGGGTTAGAGGTGCAAGAATTTCCGGATGATATCAGCGATAACTTCAAGCTTCTCCTTCAAAAGCAATTTAAATTCATGTAAAAATAAATTTTTATGACAATCATTAATTATGTTCCCGAATTTTTTTTTTTCAGTTTTTCATTTCCTCTAGCTGAAAAGTGACAGTGCGAAAAAGTGTCGGTAATTGTTAGTGAAACTACATAAGTAAGTGGAAGGTTACAGATAACGTTGCTGTTGTCACATTTGGATCATCCTTTTTGCAAGGTGTTGTGGATCCTAACTAAGGTGCTGACGTAGTACACAACTTTTATCTTGTGAAGGTAAACTATCCCTACTTTAAGGACTACTCAAAATAGAGCAGAAGGAAGCAATTGATGAAGCCACAATTTTTAGTCACAATTTTTGCGATCAGTTAGAAGTTATGCTGAGATTTACCTTGTAATCCGACTGCCCTGGACATCATCAGGAAGACAATTATCAGAAAAACACAGATACAAACGCAATGCATGTCAAAAAACACAACTTCAAAAATTTACTTGTGTTCTGAACTGAATGCAGAGCCGGATCTGACAAGCTTTTCAAACCAACATTAAATCTGATCTATGGTTTATTTTTTTTGTTAAGAGAGCTTCTTTTGTCACCCATAGCCAATAGGAATTCGTCTGTTGCCAATCACGACCCACGTGAATTGTGTCAAAACGGCCGCCCATTGTTTGTTCACAGCCGGTGAAGTATGGTTTTATTACTTTGCTAATGACTACACACCTGCCTTTCTCTTCCACTTCTTTTAAAAAAAACCTTCCTCGGAACTTGCCCCGTCACCGAGTATTTCTGCTTGGTTTAAACGCAACATACTTGATCGTTACTTACGTGATCTTGCGGTGCATTTAAAACACTAGTCTCCAGCTGTCCTAGAAAAGAACATTGTCGAAGCCGGAAGGTTTCTGCTGGAAGAAAAAAAGGAACATTTACAAAATTTTAAAAACAAGCAAACACGTTATATATCAGCCCACGCTTAGTGTAAAAGCTACTCTATTCATAAGAATAATACCAATGTAATTAAAAAAGGACATTTTGGAATTATCGCACAAGACGAACACTAATAAAGAGGATAATAACTATAAACCTTTCACTACTCTATGCTCCAATATTTTGAAGTTTGATGCTATCTTCATCTTTGTTCTTTGTTTTTTTCCTCCGTTGGTTGGCAGATATTTTCTATCTGACGTATTTTCGCATCAGCTTTTAAAGCCTGGAGGCTGAAAGCGTACTTTATAAAGAAACGCATTTGAAGCTTCGACTAAGCGAAAATCGGACTAACTCAGTGTAGATTCTTCCTCGAACAATTCTTGCCAGGTTCAGAGAACTTTTTTCCAGAGATTTTCATAATCTCATATTATCTTATGGGTGTTACTGACTAACTACATTGGTGCTTTTCATCAGTGCACATCAAGTGAATGTAACATCCCATCCATTACTGCGAAACTTGGATAAGAATTAAGTCATATCGAACGCGATTAACAATATCATCCAAGTTGCTAATGGAGATGTATACTTGAGTGCTAACTGCAAATTTTCTCCCTCAAACCTTCGCTTATCGTTTAAATTTTTATGGCATCTGCGTTTCGTCTCTGAACCTGCTTTATATGACAGAGCTAAACAAAAAAGACCGAAATCCCATCAGAATACCACCGATAATTGTGTCTGATCAATCACTGAAAAAGGTATTTCATGTTATATGTGGTGATATTTCTTGTTACCTTGAAGTCAGTTCATGACTGAATTTGTCGACTTTCATGCCACAAATGCGATATCAAGGTTACAAATTGATTCCGATATGTAATTTACACCTTGGTCTATTTTTAGTCCATAGGATGGTCAGCTCAATATAAACGAAAAAAGTTATTTCAATAAAGCACGATACGAAGACAGTGTCTAATGCATTGTGGTTTCAAATGGCGTCCCTAACTTTTTATTTTCCTAATGATGCAGTCGAGTCTATATTTTCTATCAGAGGGTTCCTCCCTACTCCCGGTTTTAAAGCTTTGGAAATTGCCTTATCGTTCCTCTCGCTAAATTATTTCGTAAATCCATTGTTGTGCTGCTGGAAAATTAGAGACGTGAGACGTGCAGCGAAGGTCACAATGAGTAACTTGTTGTGCGTTTCGGTATCCACCACTTATTCTTCGTAAGTAACTGTGGATTTAAAACTATCAAAGTTGCTGGCTTGCTCATTACAACTGGCACTTCATGGATCAATTGAAAAAAATAAGTAACGAAACGAAGCAAGGAAATGCTATCCTGCGGGTGCCTTGGAAAAACTGGAGAAATTCGAGGCTATCGATGAAATTAGACCAATGGTTTTCATAAATTCAAACACGCCTGAGGCAGAAGAACTGGTAAAGAGGGAAATATCAAAAGATACAATGATTTATGAAGAAACCTTTATAAACTTGCTGGCGCATTTTTTCGACTAAGAGCAAACTGATTGAAAAGCTTAGGAAAACGACTACTTCGTCAAAATAAAGATGATGCTTTCAGCATTGAACTTTGTTTTCAGTTATACTTAAGGTTATTTATGGTCAAAGTATTTTTCCTCCCAAAAGGATCACTACCTTGCACAGTGGTAAGAGGTGAGTGGGGGGGAGATTAGTCTCCTGCTAGGGCCACCCTTGCCAGGCAAGTCAACAAGTAGAGGCCAGGGCACAAGAGTGACAACTCAGTTCCGTAAAAAGACGTAAGACGTAAGACGTAAGGAAACAGCAACTGAAGGAACCAAGACTACCAGGTGTAATGGGCTTTGAGAATGACGGGATCAAGGCAACTAAAACCGAGCGGTCGATGGGATGGCGAAAGCAGACAAACGGGCATCAGTGGAAAACTTGGTAACGGAGGCGGAGCACGCGGCCAGCAGAGAAAAACAGGGTATGTTGTATAAGATCACTAAGATGATTTGCGGCAAGAACTCTGAAACCAATGATGCCCCCATCATGGACAAATAAGTCGACTGCTTAGAATAGAAGCAGAGCAAGACGCCTGGTGAGCAGAGTATGTCAGTAAGGTGCTGAACAGACCAGCGCATGCAATAGAAGCTGACACTCCAGAGGCAGAGGCAGAACTCGACATAAACACTGAACCGCCATCAAAGAAGAAACAGATAAAGTTATACGGTCTCTCAAGAAAAGAAAGACCCCTGGCCAAGATAACCTCGATACAGAACTGTTCAGGGTAGATCCAGTGGCTGGGGTATGGACACTTCAGTCCCCTCTTCACAGCTTTGTGGGTAGGAAAGAAAGTTTCAGATGACAGGTCAGAGGGAGCCATTCTAAAGATGCGAAAGAAAAGCACCCTGAGAGACTGCGACAACTGGCGGGTAATTACCCTCTTGTCAATTCCAAGAAAAAATCTTGACAATGATTGTCATCAAGCGGATATCAGATGCAGCGGAGAAAAATCTCAGGAAGGAATAAACAGGGTTCAGGAAAAGACTGGGATTGCTCCAACCAGATCTTCGCTCTACATAACATAATTTTGTGGTCTTTTAAAAGTCATTTGATGAATTCAGGCAATCACATCAGTAGGAGAATACGAGAAGTCGAATCATTTTTTTAAAATCATTTTTTTAAAACAATTGTTGGATGAGGTTTTTGTGATCTCCGGAATAATCAAGGTCGGCTTTGATTATTCCAGATATCACAAAGACTGTTTCTAATAATTGTTTTATTATACACTGAACGAAAAAAAGTTGGTCACGACAGTAAGTGGACTTTATTTCTAAACGTGTAAAAATATACAAATCAGCAAGCAACGCAATGCGCGCGAACTTGACACGATTACCCTCAGAAATCATGAACTGCGGTCAAACATGACATTATTACCCGTGACCTTGAGTTTCGTTCACATGATTATTTTATAATCTGCAGCTAGGTGACACCCCAGGTTCTGATTTTTGAAAATTCACTGTATGCTTTCGGCCAATCAGAAAAGAGATAGTGAATTGAATGTATAATAAACTGCATAAGTGGAGAAAAATAGAGTGCCAATTGGTACAAGAACGCCTTAAGTAATAGGTCAAAACTCAGAAGGTTAAAGTAATTACAAGCAAACAACAATAACAAAAAGGTAAATATCAGTATTATAGAAGTTCGTGCGTTTCGGAAAGTATATTTGGGGACTGACATTTAGAAATCAGATTCAGTTGATGAGCTATTTACTTCTCTCTTTTGGTTTGTTTCTCGCTGCATTTTCTAAAGCGCCCCATATAAGTCGCTTAGAACCTCTACGTTAAAAGGTGATCATTTATTTTCATTCCTGCAATTGGGTCGCTACAGGCTAAATTTCATTCCTGTCCGTTCATGGCAATGAAGTGAAGGTCGGTTTCGTCACACTGGCTTCGGGAACATTGCATTGGAGATCCACTAATCGAATTCCAAGCGACATGCATGGGTGGATCTGAAAAGTTGCAGGTTGCTGCAACATACCGGTATCTCACATCACCACTTCTAGAACTCCGCGTTCTTACTTTCTACCTAAAATCCAAAAACCTAAAAACCCAAGTCCACACATCGTCTTCGCCTGTAGTTGCCCTACCGAACACATTTGGCGCTCTTTGGAAAAAATTATGGCACCTGATGTCAAATCTTTACCGACCCTCTTCAACCTTACCTTTCTTGCAATTGGGTAAAGTTCGACTCCTCTTTTCTCCTAGCTAAGTGATTCATGGAAATTGGGAGGGTGCTCTTTTTCGCTGGCTATCATTACAGGGCTCTCATTGATCGCATCTACACTCAATCGTTCGAAAGGGTTCTTAAATCAGGTATTTTCCTGATCGACATTTTGGAGAAGGCAATAAGTGTGCTTCAAGTTATTTTTGCATATTTAACGTTGTTCTAAAGAACTACTAGGAAAAAGTTTTACTCCACTGCAAAGTGCCCGCCTTATCTATTGGTTATATTGTCTTAACATAACCAATAGGTTATGTTGAGACATAGTTTATCCGTTGTCTAATGGATATATAACACATAGGTTATCCGTTGTCTAATGGATATATAACACATAGGTTATCCGTTGTCTAATGGATATATAACACATAGGTTATCCGTTGTCTAATGGATATATAACACATAGGTTATCCGTTGTCTAATAGACTTACCTTGCATTTTAGCTCACGCCTTCATTTAAGCTGGCTCTTTTCTAGATGTCTCCTGTGACGTAGGTTACGGTAATTTAATGTGAGGTAAGGAAAGTGCTTTAATTAGGATATGTGTAGTACGATGCTGCCCAGCTAGAAACACTTTTCGCTGCTTCTTTAAATCCTAACAGATGCGCCAAACATGACAGCATATTCGTGCAATGCAAAAAATCTATCATAAATATTATGTTACGGCACTCTGATTCCAACATTAAAGATCCAGAATATATTTCTCTATAATTTCGGACATGGAAAAGAGTGACAAGTCCTGAATGTTAGTTGTGATGGAGCTGGGGACTTCTTCAGAGGATTAAAGGATTTCAACCAATCATCTATTGGATACATTACCTTTGGGGTCATCAGTGGTGGGTGATTCCTTCGATGATGTAGAAACTTAGCCTTTTGAGAGCATATTTTTACCTGCTGAAGCACAATTTCTACTTTCCTGGCTCCTTAGTCGATGGTATGATGAGGCTCTATGACTTTTTTTTTTCGGAATGAAAGTCAAAGGCCCTGCTAAACTTTTTTAAACTTTGAAGGAAATTGTGGGCAAATCTTTTCATGGGACTGTTAATGAGCCTGATATAGCTCGACCCCAAATCGGTAAGATACACAGCACGATGATTGACTGACACAAATTTTAGCCGCACATTTTTTTTTTTAACAACTGACTTAATCTGACTGTAAACTGGCCATCATAAAGAGTTTCTAAAGCCATCACTTTAAGCGTTATGCCTTCATCAGGGCGAACAGGTGATCAAGGAACACTTTCCGACGTTTTGCAATCCCGGAAAATAACTTACTAGTTGCTGTGGTTAAAAAAAATTCATCCCATTCCTATGTTTTGAGTTGTTTCCATTCCCTGTCACGAATCCCCTGTTCCCACGACAAAGACAGGCCAATCCCAGTCCTTATTTTATCCTACAGGACCCACGATACATATCTGCATTCAGAGGATCTTTAGAGCAATATTTGCCATATCGAATGGTACCAGTCTCAACGTGCTTGTGGAGCAACTATGTTCGCTAGTTTTAGGTCTGTCATATATTTTCTTCACCCCAAGAACTGAAGAACTGACAGCAGATGACTCGTTCTAAGACCCTACCGACCAACATAAACGATAGGCACTGGGAAGGAAAATGGCCGACAAGATGTCGTCGACATGGAGAAGACTTTATGTCGATAAATTAAAGGCAAGGATTCGATTAGATTTCACTCTTGCAAGTGGACAATCATTTAGATGGAGGGAAACAGCGCCTGGGGAATGGACAAACGTGTTATCAAGCTACGTGTGGACCCTTAAACAGGACGAGAGTGATATTTTGTATCGTGTCTACGAGTCAGTTGTTGTAAAGAACAAACGAATTTTAAAAGAAGTTCGTAAATGTCCAGAACACAGTGTTAGTTGTTACTCAACTGAAAAACTACCTCAGTCCGATGTATACGAGTGCATTCTACGAGATTACTTTCAGCTTGGAGTCGAAACTGAATCGCTCTACGACGAGTGGAGAGCCAAGGATCCTCACTTTGTCAAAGTTTCAGAGAGTATGCAAGGCGTTCGAGTTTTACGACAAGACCCAATAGAAACTCTGTTTGCGTTTATATGCTCATCAAACAATAATATCCCACGGATTAGCGGAATGGTTGCAAAACTTTGTCATGATTATGGAGAGAATCTTGGAGAAATTGATGGTGTTTCATACTATAGTTTCCCTGACATGAAAGATTTGAATGGGCCAAGAGTTGAACAGCACTTGCGAAGTATTGGGTTTGGGTATCGAGCAAAATTTATAAGTCAATGTGCAAGCTACATTCTTGAACATTATGACAGTAAGTGGTTGGAGACCCTAAGAAGTGTGCCATATGATGAGGCCCATGAAGGTGAGATCTTATGTGTTAGACTTGTGTTCTGTAAAGCTGGAATCGACCATTTCTATGCATACCAGTCACTTTAAACCTTAATATCAGCTTGCTTATGTCTTTATTCATTCATGAAAAATCAGTTTGATCAACTGATTCGTTTTAATATGTTACTTCTGGCTGGTTAGGTCCTTCAGCCCATATGTGAGGGTAGTAGAGGGGGTCCTGATCCCGTTTCACACACATATACTTTAAACAGAATTTCACATGTCAGGGTAAACCTCAAATGTCTCCTCTTGTGTGCAAGGTTTCAGAGAAATGTTGAGGTTTTCTCTGAATGAAGTACAAAAATTCACAGTTTATGTATATTTTAGGAGCCAAATTATGGCTTATGCTAGTTAATAAATGGATGAATTGCTCTTGCCTTTTGGTAAAATGCAGATATCACATATTAATTCATGAGTCAGCTACAAACTCTTTGCCACCCTTATATGTGCTTGTGGACTTGGATTGCACAATCCACCTCAAAATGCTCAGCCTTATATACAGTGGAAGCTCACTCAACCTTTTAACTTCCAAAGTCTGACTTTTTCCCTCCAGCTGCTCCATATTTCCCTCTGGTTTGTTAAGGGAATGTTCTCTGAGTAATTATTTGCTTATTCTCATCACCTGTTTGATGTCTAATGTATCGATATAATTTGTAAGTAACTTGTCATCACTTCTGAAAGTGAAAGGGTTGTGAGTATCTCTTAGAGGCAGAAGGGTTAGTTCTGTGGGTACATTGCCAATAAGGAAATGTTTAATATGTGTCCTTTGATGTGAAACGTGTGGCCACCATTTTGGATTGGAGTGCTATGTAATAGAGAGATATGTATTTTTGCCCATAATTACCAAACTCAAATATTGTGGCTGGCCAGATTAACATATTACATGATTAACATATTACACCAACTTGTGCTCTCCAAAAAGATGCTTGCATTCTAGGCCTTTGGTGGTAGCTTTCCAGAAGCATTCTATGTGTTTTGATAGATTACACAGAGAAGAACTAAAATCACTCCTGATCTAATTTAACAGGGTGAACTAAAACACTGTTGTTGGTACCCAGACGATTTTTATATATAAGTATTCCAATTTTCAACTTGTCAACTTCATCAACTGGTGCTGTTTTTGTTTTTGTTTTGTTTTGTTTTGTTTTTTTTAATTGCAAAAACCAGCACTTTGTAAGCTACCAGGTGTGGGAGCCAAGGTTGCGGATTGTGTTTGCCTAATGTCATTGGACAAACATGATGCTGTTCCAGTGGACACACATGTGTGGCAGATAACTGCAAAACACTACATGCCCCAACTTGCAAGGACCAAGTCTCTTACTGCCAAGGTTTATAAGCAAATTGGTAAGTAGACTAGAGTGTGAATTGTTAGGGGTGAGGAATTCATGAATTTTTGTATGTATTGACTCTGCGGTATGGCTGTATAGGAAAATATTTGACTCCAGAAGTCTCCTGATCCAAAACATATTTAAAAGTTTCTGCAATTGCAGGTAATGATTCATGTTGAGCTTGTAAATCAGTTTATGCCACCTTTTTTCTTCAGGTGATCATTACAGGGACCTCTTTGGGAATTATGCTGGATGGGCACAATCGGTAATGGTTTTTGCATCACTATTTCTCCAAAATCATAAGCAACAATACTGAACAATGGTAGAAATCAAATCTATTCTTTAGGAAATCAGGGTACTTTTGTTAAAAATTAACACCATGCATCTATGATGCTCATGATCATGCAGTGCAAAACTCTGATATGTCACATAAAATCTTTTCACAACAATAGTTAACAATTAATTTGTAAATACCTACAACCACGCTGTGTCCTTCTTTTCTCTGTTGCAGGTTCTTTTTGTAGCTGATTTAAAGAGATTTCAAGATACTCAAACTACCAGTTTAACAAATTTAAACTCAAAATCTGCCAAGGTAAGGAATACTCAATTTGCTCTACATAATGAATAGAGAATTTAGAAAAGACAACGATTGATTTTCCTGTATTAATTTAATTGAGTGAATCTGTGTTGGTGAAAGCGTCGTTATGTTTGATAGAAACTTGAAATTCAAGTGTAAAGACTAAAGTATCTTATTTTTAATATTTGCCTTAGAGGTCTATGGAATCCGACATGCCGTCAACAAGCAGCTCCAAGCGTCCCGCCAAAAAGAAAAAGAAGAACCGGATATAGGCTAAAAACAAAGATTTATTTTCCACTCGTCACTCTCTTTCTGAGATAGTACTGAAATCTAGTCCACGCTAATCACGTTAAGGTTCTCAAGTTCTCCTACAACTGATAGAAACCGAAATAAGTAAAAATTTAGTTGGATATCACTACGTAAGAGATTATAAACTGTTCATAATCTCTTGCTACTTAGCCATTTAAAGATGGTGGCTTCATTTGTCTAGATATTTTGAAAATTAGCCATTTTATCACCTTTTGGAAATAGAATGCAACGTACACCATAAAAGATGTTGAACTACGTTCGTCACCCATTGAGCGGAGTCTTGAGACTGGAGAGCATTCATTTAACTAGGTTTCTTCACTTTCGTGCCGTAGAATATCGCCTTTATTGTATGACTTATTGGACGCCACACTCCAATAAAAGCTGCATACTCTTCCCCCTTTAAAAAAGTCTATGTATTTCTTTTTAAAAAAAAATTATTTCTGCATAAAGCTTGCCTTCCCAGAAAAAAACTCAGAGGGGCCACTATTGAACCCCATCGTAAGTGCGTTCTCAGAGGGATATAAGCATCTGGTGATTCCCTAGTATTGCATTGTGCATCCTGTTCCGCAAACGCACCCAATCACGCATGTGCTTTTTCAGGGAAAGGAACGATCGGATTTCTTTTGAACAAGGACTGTCTTATCTTTTTTCCCTGTAAACCTTTTCCAAAAGAAAAATGTTAGCGCGAAGAAAGCCTTGAAGTGAAAGCATTCGTAGTCATAACCGTTCAACACAATTGTGTTATCAAGATCACGCACGCACCACTCGTCGTGACCTGTGACTCTACTTGGGAATTACAAGTTGACTTTTTTCGCCTTGGCAAATAAGACACACCGTTCTAAATCTTTCAGAGTCAGTACAAGGATTCCTGTTCTTGCTTAAGTTTGCGTGAACCGATGCAGTTGATACACCCTTCCAGAATGTGAGCTATTCGTGTAATGCATATGTTCCTAAACGGGTTGAGATTATTTCACATTTCAAATCACAGTCATGCATGCGATGAAGTATGGGGTTGAGTTTAAAGAAAACAAGTCTACTTGGACCACAGTCTATGGATGTTTTTGCTTAACTACATTTGAATTACTCTGTTGACAATCAGGTAAAATAACACTGTACGTATTCTTGTTATGGGAAGGGAAAGTAAGCCACTATTAGGCAGATGATTCAAACAGGAACAAGAATAACTTGCTAGGAAAGTTGCCTAATTCAGGAGAATAAAATTCAATTCTTGACCATTTAGGTCTGTTAATTATAGTTTTACAGCAAAACCAGATTATCATCAGCACTCATTGTTATTTTTCACTACAGTCGGTTACTCTATTTATACAACAAAGATAAAAACTTCTTTTATAAGGTTATTCAGTATTAAAAGTATGGCTCAATAAGCGTTCTGCACAGCTGTTAACATGCCATGATTAAAGCACTTATCATTCATTGGTCAGACCAGCCCATAATTGTCTGTCCTGAAAGATTTGCAATGGGCTACTTACAACTAAACAAAAGTTCTGCGACGTACATCTCATTAAATTTTAAAGATGGATCGTCAACACGTAATCAGGATACGTTTATAATGATTATAAACTTATCCTGATTAGGCGTTCACCCTCATTTAAAATAAATGACAAATACATCACAGAGCTTTTGTTTAGCTGCAACTAGTTTGTCTTTGATTACTGCAGTACGTAATATTTTCCAAACTTAAACGTTAGGCGTCGTGATAACTTAAAAGTTTTTGCAAAGGGGACCCAACATCTTCTTTTTGAAGGTAAGAACATGTTTCAGTTATACCAAGCGGATTCACTTACTACGGTATCAAACAAACAACGATATTTAGAATACTGATCATCGTGTTCTAAGAATTCTGAAAACATTAGCTGATTACAGCGGAACATGTGTTGCTTACTCAAGTAACACCTGTTCATGTCTCTGACCTACCTCTTCTAAATAATTGCAATGATCGTCTAAAAATGCGACCTGTTTGTGGAAAGTCTGAACTATGACCTATCCATACAGCAACCAAGACATATTTATCATTAAAACAAACCCAATCCAAACCAACGCAGGCCACGGTGAAAGTCAGAATATTGTTCCATTTTTCTGTTTTGAATTTAGCGTAAATTTTATCCATATTTCTTTTTCATGACTACCATTAAATGTATTTAGCGTTAGCCCACAAGGTTTCCTTTCGCTTTCGTTTCATGAGGGTGTGCAAAGTTTTCAAAGTAATCTGTGTTTTCAAGTGCATTTTCAGAGTTATTAATTGCAGAGGAACCACACGAAAAATGAATCTGGTTATGTCAGTAGCAAATAGTACAAATGCTTTAAGTAGTGCCTACTAGACACAGTCTAACTGATGATCTGATTGACTGGTACGCAAGGGATTCCTTTTCTACGTGACAGAAACAGATAATTGTAAAACACGTCCGTGTTCGTCAGGGATATGTGGGAAATGACAACTAGCGAAACACCGAACGCAATTAATTAAAAACTCAGTGAAAGACCACTTCAGCCGAACACTTCCGAAAGTTGAAAACAATTTTCTCGCGGCTGGTCTCGACCCAGTAAGTTTGAAAAGGACAGACTATCATGCAAGGGAGACTCTACTGCACAAACAAAACAAAGTGGAATAAATGCCAGGCTGGCTGTTTAATCAATTTCTATCATGTTTTGGATATATCAGCTGATATTTTCCTCGGAACCCTGACCTTCGGTGTTGGGGTATTTTGATAATTATCTTAGCGCTAAAGAACAGTTCCATGACATCCATAACACACTAAAAGCCTAAAACGTTCGAAATTGTTCATTGGTCTAGACATAGCAGTCAGTATATGTGCATATGCCCTTGTATACACCAGTGAAGCCCATATAATTTCACGCAAGAAACAATGAAATAAAATACTCGGAAAGTTGCCCACAGGCCCCTATGAAAGCTTCCACTAAACCAACCCCCCCCCTCAACTGCCACCACACATACCCCTGCGGCGGATAGGGTTTATGTTTACTGGTTCTGGTCACAGACATTATTATAACCAATTAGGAACTTAAATGTAGCCTTTAAAATTGTCCCCATTTTATCAGTAGAGTCATGGAGTGTGGTAGGAACGATAATGGCACACACAACAGAAGTGAACTAAACTCGGATGATGATATTAACGGACTGCACAACGAAATCACCACCAAAGAGGTTGTGCTAAGGCGACCCTTGCACACATACCCGGCAACTTCAAGTGTTCGTAAGACAGCGTATAAGCACGGTCTCAGCGCGCACGTCCCGCGTCCAGGAGGCTTTAGAGTCAGACATGGATTCCTGGTAAGCCAGACAAGATCATAATTTCAGAAAACTATGTCGTCGTGAAAAACATTTCAAAACTATCTATTCTTAAAAATGGACACATGAGCCTATAAACTATCCTACACCAGCTGTTTGTCACGGAAAACAGTGGACTGCTCTGTGATTATTTGGACAGAGCGATCCGATTCTTTTCATCTTTTCAAAGACTCATGCTTTGCCTTTTTTCAGAAGCGTTGCTCTCGGAAAAAAGCTTTAGCTCTCCATGAAGGATCTGTAATGTGATGTTTTCATTAGAATCTTTTGTAAAACATCGACCACATAATGAGTTCCCCCCATCCCAAAGATAGGTCCGCAATGGGCACACGCGTGAACGCAAAATTGCATGCATGGAGTAAATCCCACATTATTTCGCAGGTTTCATTTTCTAGTTGGATTACATTAGCATTTTCTAGTTGGGAGGAGTGGATGTCAGACATCCGTGTAAGATGTTAATCTCTTGCATTTGTTATAATGTCACTCTTTATTCATTAGAAGACATTTCATCTGGAGAATTAAAATTTAGGGCCATGTATTGTTTGATCGCGTAGTCTGAATAGTCCCAAGAAGAGTTGTTTTCGGTAACGGGAACAATCTTATTGGAAGTAATCATGAGAGGCGACTTTGATAATTACTTCTGCTGATGAGGGTCATCAGACTAAACGATCAAATGTTACCACCGACAAACAAATATTCGAGATGCTGGCAAGGTGTGGGTATTCCCACACAAGAATAATTATCTCTTACATGTCCGGTATGCCCATGTTTTTCTTTTGTAGTGGTAATGTCCTTGTGAATGACTGGTACAAACTAAAAACTGACAGTCTTTCTGTACTTGAAGATCGTCCAAAGTTAATGGGTGCTAATCATAAACTGTGCGTATTACTTGCGAGGAATTGTACAATGGATACATGGTTGTGTTTAAACCTGTCAAACATCTATTTGGTCAAGCTCTAATAATTTCCACTGCTTTGAGGGAGGCGGCTGCCAGGGGAGGGGTAGTTTGGGTCCAATTGCCACTCCTCCGGAAGGTTTCCATGGAAACAACAGATCGCTCATGAACGTACAAAAGACAAACTCATTCCGACGGCCGACTGGCCAGTGAATAAGTTTTTCAACCAATTTCTTTGTTTCACGACAAATATCCAAAGTTTAAAAAGGATGGCAAAATCCAAAGGAAAGGTTGAGCTTCAGGTTAGTGTAGTGAGAATTGATAGTAAGTCAAATACATGAAGAGTTTTACGAACACTAACGGCAAAGTTTGTTCAATTATTTTCTGAACTGAAGTCTTTCATCATGCTTCACTTGAGCTTATACTGCAATGGAAGACGTGAAATTTGAGCATATTTTGGAAGTTTTTTCCGGTTTTCTGAAAAACTTAGTCCACTTAACAAGGTGAATATAATATACTCTCGTCATTGTATCAATATTGGGACTATCACTTTTTGAATACAAGATCAGAGCACTGAGGTGAGAAGTGAAATATAAACATCATAAAAAATCTCAACATGTCCACATGTCACCACTAAGGGAACAGCGCAGACAAAATATCCATCCCTCTATTTGCAGTCAACAGTTTGTCGTCTCCATTTTGAGCTCTTTGGCTTAGGCCAATTCATTCAATTTGCAGTCGTTAGAGCTCACTATCGATACTTGAGAAAACTTCAACACAGTAATCAGAACATTGATCTCATTATATAAAGTGTAACCTTAACAAATTTATCTTTCTATTCAGTATAGTTGTAGAATGTCATTCCTATCTCGTCAAGGAAACCAGGAAAATTAAGGTTTAGATCGTTAAGAAAATATCAAGCCCTGCATTTAAGCAACAATCGAGTTTGCAAACACTGATTTACCAGTTCCAAATTCAAATTCAAAGTTAACTCAACTGCGTTTGAAATATTTATAACCTATTTTTCCTGCCGTGAAGTGATAAATAGTATTATAAACATTAACCATATGGGGTTAGATATGAATAAAATTAGTAATGTATCTTAGAGACCATTTTGTTTGAATTCAATATGGCGTACATTAAGAAGAATCCGGACGCTCTTAAACCTTTA